TTTATCCAGCTAAACAAAATCTGTTTTGGCATGCGGTGGCTGGTCATGCGGGCTATATGATCCAGCCAACGCAGCCTTTCCTGCCGGAGGAGCTCACCGATGGGACTTTGCCCAGATCTTTCAAGGATTTGTCAGCTCCTCACGCAATCCAGACTGGTTAAACTCAGGATGGATCGTAGTGAGTCCAGCCTAAATGTTTCTAACCGGCATAGTTATTCCATTAGAGGGGGTGCACGTTTCACAAGCAGAGAGAAGGGAGGGCGTGAATGTGTCCTATAATACCTGAAGCTTCGTGTGGAGTGACAGAACAAGTAGCTCCCACATAGCCTTACGCAGTCGATGAAAATATAATTCCACTCGACTCATTCGGATTGAGACTTCTGCTGTTAAACCGGAGCTGGGCATAAGCACATTGCCCAAGTATGGAATCCTCCCCACTCTCTTCACAACTTTCCTATCAACAATGGGGTGTTGAGGGTGTGCAGTTTCTGATGTCACATAATACCCAGACATGTGCTCGGATTTGGAAGGCCTTATGGTAAGCCCCCACCTCTTGGCAGCACGCTCCGGGTTCACCATCAACGCCTGCCACTCATCCTCTGAGTGATAAGCAATCACCAAATCATTAGCATGCATAACATGGTTGACTAATAGGGAGCCATCCCTTGACTACACCCGAGCGTCGATCAGCCTCATATTGTATATGTAGCAGATCAAACTTCCTCCAGGACGGCAATGGGAACTGCTCGATTACGTGGTTCAAAAAGATGTTAAGTGATTTCACGGTAGGCTACGTACCATGCAAAATAAGTTCAACATACATACATAGGAGCCAGAGAACATCCCTGTCACACCCCAAGGGGTGACAGGGCCTGTCCTTAATTATTGTGCGTGGAGAGTCAGGGACTCCAAAAGCACGAAGAACAGCCCATAGCCCTGGCCTATTGATGGTATTATAGGCCTTGACCAGGTTAACAAAGAAGATATGTTGGTCATGTTGGAATTGACTACACCTCTGCTGTAGCAGATGAACAGAGAATATGGCGTCTGTGTAAGACAGCCCTGGTCTGACACCACATTGGGGCTCCGCAAGCCTCTCCACAGTGTGCCTAGCAAGTTGATGTTGAATAATTATTGCCAGGACCTTTCTTCGACCACTGAGGAGGGAGATGCCCCTGTAGTTGTTACAGTCTGTGTGGTCCCCCTTTTTAAAGAGGGGGACCACCAGGACATCCTTCCAATCCTGCGGAACCCGTCTAGTGGTCCAGACTGTTGTTATGATGTCATGTAGGGCAGTCTGTGCACAAACTCCACCCTCCCTCAGCATTTCGCTTGGGAAATCATCTCTGCCCGATACGTTTCCTGGTATCAGACTTTTGTTCGCTTTTCATACTTGCTCAAAAAATGGCACAGCTTACCTGGTAGACCTTTTGTTAACTTGACAAGGGAGTTAACATCTCTAGCGCACCATGATTTCTGTGTCGAGATCGAATACACGACCTCCTGTATACCAAGAGAGGTAGTTAACTTCTCCTCGTACACGATTACGTCAGGGTTGGGATCGAACCCACGAACCTCCTGCATCCTAGGCGAGGTAGTTAACATTGCCCAGCCATCGTGGCTCTGTAAGCACACGCGTCTGTATTTGCGTGTGGGGTATAGAACCAAACCCCAACATCCCACCAACTTTCCACACTAACGGTTGTTTCCCTCTGTCAAGACCACGGGGTGGCTTAGCCGTCTCCACGCGACCTCCAGCCCATAGACGCCATCGTCCTCTGGCCTCACGTTGTTAATACGGAGCCACACGGTCTTGAAGCTCGAGTCATTTGATGGCTGCACGCGGCCTTGGTAGTGAGCCGAGGTGTCCACATTTAGGGCCCAGGAGGAGGCTGTCGATGGGGCTCATTGCGCCAGCCGCCAAACACAACGCTTCCACACAGTCCACCACTATCAGCAACCACTACTCCACAGTCCACCACTACCACCAACCATTACCCCACAGTCCCCCACTACCCCCAAACACTTCCCCACAGTCCACCACTACCACCACCGATAAACGCCACAGGCAGACATCGACAGCCACCTGCTCCACTACCACGACCAGCAACATTATCACCACCACCAAAAATACAAAGACAAATATCCCCCATATAGCTGTTGAGGAAAGTGCTGTAAGCGAGCACCTTTAAGGTTGGCACTTTGACACAACAAAACAGATGTTAACATGTTAAAAATACCAAACTGAAATCTTTTACAGGAAATCATGTCTGCATTAACCACAATACTTGTGGTGAAAATACAAACAAAAAACATACTCTGACAGTATATGCATTGTTTTTTAAACTGATTGGTCCACACCAAAGACAATTGTTTTTTTAGAGCCTAGTCTCAAACAGTGTTAGACCATATACTGTCAGAGCATGTTTGTATTGTCACCACAAGTGTCTGTGGTTAATGCAGACATGATTCCTTGCAAAAGGTTTCAGTTTGGTGTTTTAACATCTTAACACCTGTTTTGTTGCCAGAAAAAAGGAGAAAACCTATTCTCATATTTTGACACTAACAAAGGAGGTCCCATGATGAAGTTCGACAGTTTTTCATTTGAAGAATTAGTGGAAGAGGCCTCGCTCAATCGAGCCCTTAGGCCTTCGACGTCGATCATCTGTCGGCATCTTTCTTCCTCTACGGCTATCGTTTGGGAGCCAGTTTCATGGACACCATTGACGATCCCGGACACGCACAATTATTTATTCAATCACGTGCCAATTCTAGGACCATTGACATTGCCATGACGTTTTGTTCATAATAATCGTTTATGGGTTAGATCGCGAAAGTATAAATGCATCACAATGCTCCACCACCCGAAACGGCCAATCAGTAAAAAATGCGTGACGTTACCAAAACGCCAATTAGTTATTTCTTTAGCCCACCGGTGTGTTTGAAGGGTGAATCCACAACATTCTGAATGTTGTGGATTCTAAATGGTATAGTGTAGTGTAGTTCTTGTGGTAGTGTAGTGTAGTATGTAATGTATAGTGTGTAGTGTATAGGATGTAGTGTGTATTGAAGTGTGTATTCAAGTGTTGAGTGGTGTATATCGTGTTGTGTATAGTGTATAATGTAGTGTGGTGTCAAGTTTCGTGTAGTGTATGGTAGTGTAGAATATGTAGTGTTTAAAATTAATATTCTTGGTTCTTTCGGTAAAGAAAGAACCAATTGTGTATTATATTCTATAGTGTAGTATGTATTGTAGTGTATAGTAGTGTAGTGTATAGTGTAGTGTATAGTAGTGTAGTGTGTATTGTAGTGTATAGTGTAGTGTATAGTGTGTATTGTAGTGTATAGTGTAGTGTATAGTAGTGTAGTGTGTACTGTAGTGTATAGAGTAGTGTATAGTGTGTATTGTAGTGTATAGTAGTGTAGTGTGTATTGTAGTGTATAGTAGTATAGTGTGTATTGTAGTGTATAGTGTAGTGTGTTTTGCAGTGTATAGTGTAGTGTATAGTAGTATAGTGTGTATTGTAGTGTATAGTGTAGTGTATGTATGTTGAACTTCTTTCGCGCATTACGTAGCCAATCGTGGTAAACCGGATGTGTGGGGGGAAGGGCAACAAACAACAACAGCAGTTCCAAAGAAATTCGTTTTAAATTTGGGAAAGGGTGTAGTGTAGTCTATAGCGTTGTGTATTGTAGTGTCATGTACAGTGTCGTATATCGTCGTGTTTATAGTAGTGTATTGTGATGTGTAGTTTAGTTTATTGTTGTATAAAGTACAATGTAGTACATAACTGTTTGCTGTCGGCATCTTTCTTCCTCTGTGTGTTGTGTAGTATATAATAGTGTCGTATGTATTGTGTAGTGTAGTCTATAGTAAACTAATAAAAATAAAACATAATAAAATAATTCTCACGACGTTTCGGCCACAACGCAAGCAGCCGTCCTCAGGTGGAGAACAGGTCTGTCGAGAAGACAGAGTCTGAATGACACGCCCCAGGTTTGGAGCGACTATTTAAGCTGGGATGGAGGGGCGAAGAGCGCCTTGACAAAATAATTTGCATATCAAGAGGAATTTAGCATATTTATGGGAAATGCAGATATGCGATTAGTACTACTTGTGAAATGCGTAGGATTCCTGCAGTCACGAAAGCTTTAAATCGAAATTTAGTCTATAGTAGTCTAGTGTATTGTGGCGTATAGTGTAGTGTATAGTAGTGTGGTGTGTAGTGTATAGTAACGTGGTGTGTATTGTAGTGTATAGTGTAGTGTATGTATGCTGAACTACTTTTGCACCATACGTAGCCAACCGCGCTAATCGGAGGTTCCAGGTGGAAGGACAACTAACTAAACAAAAGAAGCTGCAATTCCAAAGACATTAGTTTGTCAATTCAGATGATTTAAAAGTGCATAGCTCCAGTGACTTCCTAATTTCCCGGACTGTGCTTTATAACCCCTATAATTTTATATTGTTATTTATGATAACGCGTTTTTTCTCCCATAACGTAGTGTTATTCAGGAACGCTACACCTACTGCCGTTATAGGATAACAGGACTGTACGCTGATGTGTAGGCATGTGTGTGTGTATCTGTGTGTAGTGGTTAGCACACTGCGCTATGAACCCGGCGACCCAACTTCAAACACAAGTGACGATTATCTGAACCGGTCATGAGCTTCCCCTAGGTCGACTCAGACTCAAATTAGTACCTGGTGCGGTGTCTAAACATTGCCACTAGGGAGACAAAGGCAGCCGTGTGTGGTGCTGGCCACGGACCCTCTCGTGTGCCGTGCAGACCTTCATAGGTGCTCGCTAACAGCACTTGCCCCAACACTCTGTTCAGACTATACGAGGGATCTTTATTTTGTTTTGAATCTCAGACATCTCAGTCAGGCAAGCCATGGCAACCCATGTAGTGTATAGTAGTGTACTATATAGTTGTGTATAGTAGTGTGGTATATAGTAGTGTATAGTAATATAGTGTAAATTAGTGTAGTATATAATAGTGTAGTATATAGTAGTGTATGGTATACTAGTGTCGTATATAGTATTGTGGTATATAGTGTCCTGTATAGTAGTGTACAGTGTAGTGTATAGTCGTGTATAATGGTGTAGTGTATAGTAATGTAGTGTATAGTAGTGTAGTGTATAGTAATGTATTGTAAACTAGTGTAGTATATAGTGGTGTAGGGTATACTAGTGTAGTATATAGTAGTGTAGTACATAGTGTGGTGTATTGTGTCGTGTATAGTAGTGTATAGTGTGGTGTATAGTCGTGTATAATGGCGTAGTGTAAATAATGAAGTGTATAGTAGTGTAGTGTTTAGTCGTGTCTAGTAGAACCCCTCTTAATGACTATTATCTTTTAACGACTAAGCACTTACCGACGGGTCTCCATAAATCCCAATGTGTAACTTATAGCAGTGTATAGCGTAGTGTAGTGCATCCTTAGAGCCCAATGCGTTCACTTACCGACCATTCCCCTGTTAATGGCAGGCTGTTGCAGGTTACCGCAAATATGAATTAATGCATTGATTAACCATGTTCTTTAATAGTATGTGTTTATAATGTTGTTACTAATTTTAGGGTATTCATATCCAATGTTTAAATACTATAAAGTACGTTTTTGGGTGAAAAAGTGTTAACTTTCGATGCTAGCGGAATGAATCAAGCCATTGACGGTCATTTGCATATCCTCGCTTAACGATCAAATCACTAAATGATCGGTTTAATGGAACCAATTACAGTCGTTAAGAGGGGGGATTCTGCTGTATCGTATAGGGGTTGTAAAGCACAGGTCCGCGATAATGCGCGAGATGATGCGTAACACAGGGCTAGTACAAACTAAACTCTTCTTAATGTTACCAGGTAAGGTCCACTACTGAGCAGTGCAGCTCTTTATCAGAAGCGACGTGGCCATCGCAAAGGATAGCTCAACCAAGTGGGCTTACCATCATCTTCATCATCAACATCACGTGAAAATGTATAACGGACAAACGAGTCTGAACATGTGATGATGTTTATTCTAAATGTGGAGCGGAAAAACCGGAGGACCAGGAATAAAAAAAAACCTCGCGACCACGAGGAGAGAGAGATGCACAGTCCAAAGAAATAGCAGGCATCAGGGTCCGGATCGAACCCACAACCTCCTGTATTCCAGGTGAGGTAACTAACATTTCCTAGAATTAAGGGTTTTCTGGTGGGTAGCATCAGCTAGAAGCATCCAGCAACATCCCAATGCCTTGTTGTGAGATGATGATAATGATGAGGATGCTAAACCGAGGCAACAGCCGTTACGACCACCGCTTATTCCTACTCGCTGGCAACATCGTTCCATTTCCACTCAATCGCGTTATATATATTAAATTTGCACCCGCGTTAAAATAAATAATATCAAATAATTATAGAGGGTAAAGCACAGTTCGCGTTAACGCACGAGATGATGCATAAAAGCAGGCTCTGAACAAAGACCGAGAGTGAGTGTGTGTGGGTGGCATCTACGAGAGGTAATCAAGCTGCATCCCGATACCTTGGGTGATGACACTACGCCGAGGCAACAGCCGTTACAAACCCACCGCTTATTCCTACTGGCATGCAACGTAGTTACGTTCCGCTCGATCACGTTACGATGACTAATAAATAACATGTAATAAAGCACAATCAGCGAAAACATGTGAGATGATGCGTAACGAAGGCTAAACAACGACTGAGGGGTCCGTGTGTGCGGGTAGCATGAACTAGAGTTATCCAGCTGCATCCCGATGCCTCATATTATGATGACGCTACGCCGAGGCAACAGCCGTTACAAACCCACCGCTTATATCCTACTGGCACGCGACGCAGTTCCGTTCAGCTCGATCGAGTTACACATATATCCAATTCGCGTTGCGAACACACAAGCGTTATAGGAGAATGAACCATACGTGTCTGTGTAGCGAGTGAGTCAGTGAGTGTGTGTGCGCCTGTGTGTGTGTGTGTTTGGTGTATGCACCAGTGTGTGTTGAGTGTGTGTGTCTGCCATGAGTGTGTAGCTCGAATCTTCAGCAGGCTGTACAGTGGCCTAGAAAGAGAATACAAACACACGAGAAAAAAAGTGAGACATTAAAACGCGGAATTTCATTGACATTTCATCAACATACATAGTGTATGTATATTATGTAGTGCTATAGATTCCCAATACATATATCTATTATTAGTTAACTTATTCATAGCCAAACAACTCATATCTCAGTGTAAGCCTGACTTTGTGCAGTGTTGAGTCAATGGTGCAGTGCTGAGTCTATGGTGCAGTGTTGAGTCTATGGTGCAGTGTTGAGTCTATGGTGCAGTGCTGAGTCTATGGGGCAGTGTTGAGTCTATGGGCAGTGTTGAGTCTATGGGCAGTGTTGAGTCTATGGTGCAGTGTTGAGTCTATGGGGCAGTGCTGAGTCTATGGGCAGTGTTGAGTCTATGGGGCAGTGTTGAGTCTATGGTGCAGTGTTGAGTCTTTGAGCAGTGTTGAGTCTATGGGCAGTGTTGAGTCTATGGCAGTGTTGAGTCTATGGTGTAGTGTTGAGTCTATAGGATAGTGTTGAGTCAATGGGCAGTGTTGAATCTATGGTGTACTGTTGAGTCTACGGTGCAGTGTTGAGTCTATGGGCTTTAAGAGAGGAGTGGAAGGACGTTATTAACCAGGTCAAGTGTTAACTGACTGTGATGTTTCCATCCTACCTGCCTATGTCAGCTGTTATTTCCGACTCCCTGTGTGTCTTTCTCTCTCTCTGTGCATCTCTCTCCAATCTCTACTCCAGTGACCCAGGTGCTGCCGCGGGGTCCACTTTCTGCCCCGCCTCCTCCCCCCCTTTCTCTCTCCTCCCCAACTGCCGAGGCCTATATAACCTCGTGCTACGGCAGATCTCTCGCCTACTTCAGCAGTTTTTTCTTGCTGTGGGTGTCCCACCTGATGACGATTGCTTGTGTTGCAATCAAAACATCGTGATCTATTATTTGTCTACCTACGTGACTTTACTGAAAGAACCAAAGATAGTGGAAGAAGGTTCATGTACAGGAGGAAATGAAACATCTCAATAAAGATGCAGAACTACCGGATTTCAGGGATCAGTCGAAATTTTAAAATCGAATTCAAAATTAAAGTCCCAGCAACCCCGGGAAATCACAATAAGTATTTATACTGCTGCAGGAATCCGATGAGCTATAAAGCGCTTTGTTTCTCGGATATACGTTATGGCAGTATGGGGTCCGAACGTTACAACAGCAACCACGATAGGAGTGTAAAGTACAAGCAACGTTAAACAAATCCCCCAAACACAAATTGAACTAAACCATCACCGCCATCCTTACCAATCCAGATGCCCACTGAGGTCTATATATAGATTTTCAGAAGCGTACATGGCTCATATAAGCAATGGTAGCCACTACTATACACGACACTACTATACACGTAAAGTTTTCCATCATCATATTTTCGAGTGGCAACGTTCATTTTAAATGTGGAGCGGGAGAAAACAATCCACGCGACCATCTCCACGGGGAGAGACAGAGGGAGAGGGGCACAAACTCCAAATGTACAGCAGCAGGCATCGTCAGAGTCCGGGATCGAACTCCTCGACCTCCTGCATACTCAGCGAGGGAGTATATACACACTACACTAAACATACTATTACACTATCCACTACACTATACACACACTACACTACACTCAATAGTACACTATACACCACACTATATACTATACAGACTACACACTACACACACTATACCGTACACACACTATACACTACACTATACACTACACTATATAGTAAACTATATAATACACTATACACATTACTATACACACACTACACTACACTATACACACACTACACTATACACTACACTATACACTACACTATACACACCTGCTACGTTACACTATTGCACTTTACTATACACACACTACACTAAACACAACGCTACTATACACCCCTAGTGCACCATGGCACCCAAGCAGATACTCCTCATGTGATCTAGACGGTTTTTCCGTCAATGATCTAAAAACATATTATTTGGTTCTTTCGGTAAAGTTACGTAGATAGAAAAATAATAATAATAAAATGATTAAATATATATATATAAAAACCACGATGTTTCGTTCGCAACACAAGCGACTGCTTGAAACATTGAAACATCTTAGTTTTCTTAGTTTTTATTTTATTAATTGTAATTTTTTTTCACTTTATTATAATTTTTCTTCTATCTCCGTGACTTTACCGAAAGAAACAAAGAATACTGCCCATAGACTTAACACTGCACCATAGACTCACTCAACACTGCAGTCACGAAAGTTTTAAGTCAAGATCTAAAAACAATTACCATTGACCTCGGCTTACAGCAAACTCCAAATGCACCTACCTTGGTTGAGGCCATTCTCCCGTTTCGCTCTCCCCGTCTGCCCTCATCCGTTATGCCCAGAAGTTCCTGCTTTGCCTCCGCTGCTGCTGCTGCTTTGCTGCTGATGCCTGTGAAAGACGACGGGCTCGGTTATTGAACGGATAACAAAGGACAATAATGCAAGTGGTAAGTAGGAACATTTGATATTGTGCACTCTGGTGAGTCAAGTCCATCACGAATGCGCATTGACCACACGTTGAATTTTATTCTTTGGGTGTTTCGGTAAATTAATAAAAATAAACAAAAAACCATGACGTTTCTATCGCAACACAAGCGACCGTCTTCAGGTGGAATTATTAATTTTGAACCTATCTACGTGACTTTACCAAAACACCCATAGAATGTTCATTCCTGCAATCACGAAAGCTTTAAGTCAAGGTTTGTTTTAAGTCTATTGTGGAACTGGCTCAGACTCAGGGATGGATCCCGAATATTAGCTGGAGGTGCGTCTCCAGGTCTTTGACCCGCTGATCCAGAAACTGAGGTGGCCGTATCATGTGCGAAGTTTACACGCGGGGTGTATAGCAGCCCCGGATCGTAGTCGGACTCGACTTGGGTCTGTTGATGCTGGATAGACACTGATCAGTGAGATAGGACGGAGCAGATTGATGGCGACTCTTGAAGACGAGTGGGCATAATTTTTTCACAATCCTGGAATTAATAGATAGCCAGTGCAGCTCATCACGTATCAAACTCGTGATCGGATTACATTTCTGTTTCGTAACTATCAGACGAGCTACAAGCATTTAACACCGACTGGAGTGGGCGCAGGTTAACAGTGCTTGTACAGCTGAAGATGCTGTCCACGCGGCTGATGATGAACGCGTGGATGAGCTTCTTCGTAGTCTCCACAGTTAGAGCATGATGGACTGTGCAGCAGTCGTCGAATAATAATAATTAAAATCTACAATGCCCATTCCCCCTGGTAAACCATTTTTTTCCCCCACGATCCGAACGGCAAAGTTTTTGAAAGTGAGGAAGCGGGGAGGTTATCTTTTTTTTCTGGTGGAATGTTACTTGTAGATTTTGGCAGACGTACAAAAGAGTGCAGGGTGCAATTCCACCACGTCCTGCTCTCCCGCAACGCGCGGCTACTTAGTGATAGTTGCGTTATGGGAAATAATAGTAATAATTTATATATATCTAGGATTTAAGCTTTCGTGGCTGCAGGAACTACTATACTCATTGGTTTGTTCGGTAAAGTCACGTATGTAGAAATAAAATATGAAAATTAAAATAGATCACGACGTTTCGAATGAAACACAAGCGCTCTTCCTCAGGTGAAAATGGCGTAAACCACACAGCGAGAGAACACACAGAGGGACATCACACACAGAGCACACAAAGAACGAAAAAACCTTGCAGTTTGCCGTTCTCTGTGTGCTCTGTGTGTGATGTCCCTCTGTGTGTTCCCTCGCTGTGTGGTGCATGCCATTTTCACCTGAGGATGAGCACTTGTGTTGCATTCGTAAAGTCGTGATCTATTTAATTTTCCAATGAGTATCATTTATATATATCGTGTCACTCATGCAACTGCATCCCGCGACGCCGTAACATCAAATTAGCCAGTCCCTTTTGTGACCCGTGCCCACTCTGCCTCGATAATTCCTGGCCGTGATCGTTATTGAGGACACTGGGTGGTCATCAAATGAAATAAAAGCTTTGGTAGCACTCTGCGTTGTTTTCCTCGGTTCCCCTACATGATCCTCCTCTGTGTCAACTGTGATACGACTCTCGCTCCAAACAAGGCCACGTGTACTCAAAGAGGACTTTCTGAGCAGTTGACGAGGATCCAAAATTGCATCGGTTTATTCGTCCGGCTCACAGCACTGAGGTACACCAATCGACCTGTAATGCCAACGTGCTGGCACGATGATATCTTCTCTTCAAAATCCTTGTCCGGTGGTCAAGTGACTATGGGAATTGAGTCACGTGCCTGCCTATTCTGAGAGGTTGATGAAGGGTCATGGACTAACGTAACACCCAAATGATCCTAAGCCAACCTTGATCCGGTAACGCTCGCGACATTTAACGACGACTGATTATATTGTAGTGCGAATATATATGCACCATTTATTAGGAACACAACCACACTGGCTACACTTTCAAACAGATAACAAGACAGCAAACGCAATACCTCCCACTTACTTAGCAAAAAAAAAAGATGAATAAATGAATTATCCGCGAGAGAAAAAAAAATGCACCGTAACGAGAAGACATTTTTCAGCAAAAGAGAAAATAAATAAAAATAAAATAAATCTGTTCGGTCGCCATACCCCCAGATACTCATCCCAATATTCTGGCGGATTTATGAGAGGGAGTGGTGAAGTGGCCAAAAAGTTACCAGCCAGTTGGACTATAACATATCAATGCAGATTATCCCGCGTATGCCTGGACAGATTTGAATAATCAAATACATATTTTTAATCTTTTATTTTATTTTCTTTACCTACGTGACTTTACCGAAAGAACCAAGAGCATGGATCCTTGCAGTCACGAAAACTTCAAATCGAGAAAAGATTTTAATAAGTGCATTAATTTGTCAGGATGTGTAGCCGGAGGGAGTGATCGAGACTTTGGAGGCCTGCACGTGTGAACGAGATGGTACGTAATAAAATATAATCAACAGGGGGCGATAGGCACAGTCCCGTGACATTAGGAAGCCACTGGAGCTATGCACTTAAAAATAAAAACTGGACAGGAAACTAATTTATTTAGAATAGCTGCTCGTTGTGGTATTTAGTTTGTTGTTCTTCTCGCCGCACCTCCAAATTAGCACGGTTGGCTATGTACGGTGTGAAAGAAGTTCAACATAAACACATTACACTATCCACTACAATACACACTACACTATACACACTACACAGCACACTACACAACACACTACACTCTACACTATACACACTACACTGCACACTACACTACACACTGCACAATACATACAATACACTATACATTACAATATAAATACACTACACTATACACACATGCTATACACTACACGAAACACTTCACTACACACGACACTACAATACACTACACTACTATACACCGCAATACTATACACTACAATAGTACATACTATACTACACTGAACTATACACTATACTACTATACACTACACGACCATACACTACACTACTACACACTACACTACTAAACAATACACTACAATACTATACACTACTATACTATACAATAATACAAACTATACTCCTATAGACTACACTATACACTCCTATACACTACACTAATATACACTACTATACACAACACTATAGATTACACTAATTTACACTACACTGCTATACATTACACTATACACTACACTTGTATACACTATACACACACCATTACCATTTGATCTGTTTCTTGAGCTGAGCCGTTCGGTGTTTGTCCAGGGCGTACAGATCCACGATCCGCATCCTCTCCTCAATCTCCTGGCACGGCACGGCATGTAGCAGAGCGAGAGCTTGATATGACCTCATCAGAAGGCACGTCACTTCAGGCAGTGTGTGGCTTATTCCCCTTTAAAGATAACTATTGTAGAACTCTCTGTTATCCACGCTAATGATGGTGAGGGACGGCCGCAGATAATTCAACATCGTGAATAATCCAACAAATAAAACAATTTCCCGCGGATCTCTGTGCCAAAAAAGATAGATGCCAATCACTCACCTACTCACTCACTCACCCACTCACTCACCCACTCAATGACACACTCACTCACACACCCACCCACTCACCCACCCAACTCACCGACCCACTCACTCACTCTCCCGCTCACTGACTCACTCACTCACTCACCCACTCATCCAACCAACTATCCACCCACTTACACACCCACTAACTCACCCACCCACCCACTCACCCACCCACTCACTAACACTCACCTCCCGTGTGAGCTCGGCGTGCTGGTAAATGTGCGAGGGGTCACTGCTGGAGCTGCCCATGTCGCTGACGCTCGCCAGTAGGGAGGGGGCAGAAGGCGGCGAGCGCCGTTGCTGGTAGCGTGATGTGGTGGGCGCGTCGCTCTCGTACGCCGGGTTGTACTTCACTGCATCCTCCGGCGACGTCGAAAGGCTGCCGCTGCATTCACCCGAGCTGCTGACAATCACGCCAAAGAAAGAGAGAGATACTGCAACCTTAGCCTCAACACTGCACCATAGACTCACTCATAACTGCACCATAGACTGAACGCTGACCCATAGACTCGACACTGCCAATATACTTAGCACCGCACCATTGATTCAACACTGCACCAGAGAATGAACACTGCCCATAGAAACTCAACACTGCCCTATAGACTCAATGTTGCACCATATTCTCAACACTGTCCCATAGACTCAACACTGCACCAGAGACTCAAAACTGCAACATAGAATCACTCAACACTGCACCACAGACTCAACACTGCACCATAGACTCAACATTGCACAATAGAAACACACATAGAAACAACGCCTCTGTGTCGAGGCCTTAAATATATAGGGGGGGGGGGGGTTGGGGCAGAGAGAGAGGGGGGGATAGAGAAATTAGCATGTCAATGAGAGAGTTGTGTGGAAATCTTCCCCATCGCGGCCGGAGGAGAGAAAATATTTATAGGTCAAATTTCTCTCCTTCAGCCGCTATGGGGAGAATTTCCACACAACTCTCTCATTGACATGCTAATTTCTCTATCCCCCCCCTCTCTCTCTGACCCCCTTTCTCTATTTAAGGCCTTGACACAGAGGCGTTGTTTCTCTGTGTGTCTATGTGTGTGTCTCTCTCTGTGTGTCGCTGTGTGTTTCTCTCTCTGCTTATGTGTCTGTCTATGTGTCTCCGTGTCTGTGTTTTGTCTCGCTCTCAAATTTAGTAATCTTTGGAAGAACGTAATCAACCAGGTATGGTGTGGACTGTTATGTTAGCCGACTCTCTGTGTTGTATTGCATTATATTTCAAAGTTTACTATATTTCTTTTCTCTTTCATTTCTATCTGATGATGATTGCTTGTTGCAATCGAAACGTCGTGTGCTCTTATTGAATTTATTTTCTTTCTACGTGACTTTACCGAAGGAACCAAAGAGTAATTCCTGCAGTCACGAAAGCTCCAAATGAAGTTTCATAGGTACTACTCGCGATCAGAACTTGCACTCTCATAGAGGCTACGTGGGTGGTGGGATCTTTGTCTTTGTGAGCTGCTCTTACGATGACGAGCGGCCACCTCCTCCACCTCTCTCCTCCCCCTTGTCTCTCCGTGAGCCCCTGAGTGCACGCGCCACCACGAACACGATGGCCGAGCAGACGAGAAGGAAGCCGGCGACGGACGCGAGGGAGATGCCCACCACCAGCGGCTCGGACACGAACTCCTGGCAGCGTTCGCCACGGTACCACCAATTCTCTCCTACACGGCACCTGCGCAACTCCGGAGGGCGGGTGGAGGAGAAGGTAGGTCATGGTGGTGGGGTGGGGTGGACAGGGGGGTCAGAGACAAGCGTGTAGAAGTGTGTAGTAGTGTATAGTGTAGTGCACAGTATTGCGTTGTATAAAGTAGTGTATAGTTGCGTAGTATATAGTGGAGTGTATAGCAGTGTAGTGTATAGTGTAGTGTGTGATGTGTATAGTGTTGAGTATAGCAGTGAAGTGTAGTGTGTGTTGTGTATTGTGCTGTGTATAGCAGTGCAGAGTATAGTGTAGTGTGTGTTGTGTATTGTGCTGTGTATAGCAGTAGAGTACATAGTGTAGTGTGTGCTGTGTATAGCATTGTGTATATCAGTGTAGTGTATAGTGTAGTGTGTGCTGTGTATAGTGTTGTGTATAACAGTTTAGTGTATAGTGTAGCCTGTGTTGTTGTATAGCGTTGTGCATGGCAGTGTAGTGTATAGTGTAGCGCGTGTGTTGTTGTATAGCGTTTTCTTGTACAGCGGCGTAGCATACAACTCGCTCGGGTAGTTCAAACTACCGTCACGGTTTTCCCGGCCTCACCTGCAGATGGCGCCCTGCCCGTCGACGACGTCACACTTGCCGTCGTGCAGGCAGTAGGAGGGGTCGAGGTCGCAGAGGCTCTGGCAGGGCAGGCCGCCCACGCTGGCGTAGCCCGGGCGGCAGACGCACTCGGCCTCGCCCGACCAGCGGTTGGGCAGGCAGTCTGAGAAGTCGTTGCATGCCTGGAACTTGCACGGGTCCGCATTGTCGCCTGTTTGTTGTTGTTTGTTTGTTTTTGTTTGTGTTGCGGCAGGGTGTGGGAGTGTGGGTTGGGGGTGTGTGGGTGGGTGGGGTAGTTGGGGGTGGGAGTGGGGTGGGTGTGGGGGTGTGGGTCGGTAGGTGGAGGTGGGGTGGATAGGTGGGGTTGGGAGTGGGGTGGGTGGTGGTGGGGTGGTTGGGGGTGGGAGTGGGGTGGGTGGGTGGGGATGGGGTGGAGTGGGTGGTGGGGTGTAGGTGGGTAGGTCGGGGTGGGAGTGGGTGGGGTGGGGGTGGGGTGGGAGTGGGGTGGTTGGGGGTGGGAGTGGGGTGGTTGGGGATGGGAGTGTGGTGGTTGGGGGTGGCAGTGAGGGTGGGGTGTGTGGGGGTGTTGTGGATAGTTGGGGGTGGGGTGGGTAGGTGGGGGTGGGAGTGGGGTGTGTGGGAGTGGTTATCAGTGTGTTGGGGTGAGGTGGGTAGTAGTAGAAGTGGATGAGGAAGGGGAGTTGAGATGTTAGTGAGTGAAGTTGGGTTCATTATCGATCTGTAACACGATTTTTGTTGCTGGGTACTAAGCGTTATTTTCTAATTGCTTATGCCTCAAAAGTATAGAAAATGGCCATTATTCCCCACAAACGTTGCTTTTGTGATCAAGATTTTACGTGAAGGATTGACACAAATGCACACGTTTTCTAAATAAAAATAGATACGATTTAAAGCTTTCGTGACTGCAGGGATTCATCTTCTTGGTTCTTTCGGTTAAGTCACGTAGAATCACAAGTAGTAATAGTCGCATATCTGCATTTCCCATAAATATGCTAAAATTCGTAGTTGTATGGTGAATATGCAGCAGTGTGGTGTGCAGTATGGTGGGTAGAATAATACATAGTGTAATATTACAATGTATAAGGTATAGGGTGGGGTATAGTAATCACAAGTAGGACTAGTCGCATATCTGCATTTCCCATAAATATGCAAAAATTCGTAGTTGTATGGTGAATATGCAGCAGTGTGGTGTGCAGTAGGATGGGTAGAATAATACATAGTGTAATATTACATAAATATGCTAAAATTCCTCTTCATATGCAAATTATTTTGTCAAGGCGCTCTTCTTCCTCCCTCCCAGCTTAAATAGACGCTCCAAGCCCAGGACGTGTCATTCAGACTCTGTCTTATCGACAGACCTGTTCTTCACCTGAGGACGGCTGCTTGCGTTGTGGCCGAAACGTCGTGAGAATTATTTTATTATGTTTTATTTTTATTATTTTATTATTTCCATTCTACGTGACTTTCCCGAAAAGAACCAAGAAGAAAAAAATAGATACATTTCAAAATATCACTATCCTGGTCACAAAAGCAAAGTTTTTGGGGAATAATATCCATTTTCTGTACTTTTGAGGCATAAGCAAATTGAAAATAACACTTACTACCCAGGAACAAAATATATATATTTATTTTTTGTTGGCACAGCAAATACATTTTGTGTGGGTTATCCGCAACACTAGCTAAATCATGTTCATCTTAATTGTATTTCATAACAATAGCTAAATCATTATCGTCATCATCATGATTGTAATCCACAGAAATAGCTAAATTATTATCATCATCGGGCAGTGCTGAGTCTATGGGTAGTGCTGAGTCTATGGTGCAATGTTGAGTCTATGGGTAGTGCTGATTCTATGGGCAGTGTTGAGTCTATGGTGCAGTGTTGAGTCTATGGGCAGTGCCTGAGTTCATGGTGCAGTGCTGAGTTTGGGTAGTGTTGAGTCTATCGAGCAGTGTTCAGTCTACGGGCATTGCTGAGTTTGGGTATTGTTGATTCTATGGTGTAGTGTTGAGTCTATGGTGCAGTGTTGAGTCTATGGAGCAGTGTTGAGTCAATGGTGCAGTGGCGTCGGCGGTTCAATGTCCGGGCCCACTCACCGGATTCGACGTCCAGTGACTGCCGGTCGATCTCCATGTTCATGTGCTGGTAGGCGGCATTGCAGAAGCGCTCCAGGATGACATGGACGGCGCGTGTCACGTTGTTGGGCACGTGGTGGGCGAACTTCATGCGGCTGTTGACTACCACGCTGCCATTGCGGAAGTTCATGATCTCCATGTTCTGGAAGCCCGTGAGGTTCGACTGCAGGTACGGGACAAGCTGGTGGGCGGACGAGGGGAGGTTTGGGGTGAACGTTGGTAGGAAAAGAGTTCCCACGAGGAAAGTGGGAGGAGGAGGAGGACGGTGGGATGGCGGGGCAGAGGGAGGGAGGAGGAGGTAGGAGGAGGAGGGAGGTAGGAGGTAGGTGGAGGTAGTAGGAAGACGGAGGAGGAGATAGGAGAAGTGAGATGGGGTGTGTGTGAGAGTTGTAAAGAGGGGAAGAAGGTCGTAGGAGACACGAGAAAAAAAATCTCCGTATCTTTATTGATTCCAATCTAGATTTGAAGTTTTTGTGACTGCAGGGATCCATACTCTTGATTCTTTCGGTAAATTCACGTAGATATAAAATAAAATAAATTAAATCACGACGCTTCGGGCGCAACACAAGCGTCCGTCATCAGGTGGGACAACCACAGCAATAAACAATTGCTGAAGTGGGCAAAAGGGCTGCTGTAACAAGAGGCTATATATGTGTTGCACCCAAAACGTCTTTTATATTTTATATCTACGTGACTTTATTGATTCCAGCCACCACCTTTAGGTTAATGTTATTTCTCACGGAGTCTATATAATCCAGAGAATATTGTGTGGGTCTCGATGTGAGCCTGCGGGTCTCGAGCCTGCGGATCTCGAATTCGATTCCTCTTCATGGAGATAGTATGGGTGTCTGTCTTAGTCAATATCTGGCATATCACGGCGGCTAGGAGATGTTATCTACATTTAGAAACGCGCCTTTGAAGTCTTTGCCTGCTGCTGTAAATTCCCCAAGTGCTAATGAGCAGACACTTTGTTGAACTATATATATTTAAAAATCATAGCTTTCATTTGTGGTCAGGTCGTTTCTGAAAACGAGCTAAAGAGCAGCTCAGTGGGCCTTACCTGATAACATTAAAATAGTTCAGTTTAGTTTAAAGTCTTTTTTTTTATTCATCATCACCATCATTAGCCTTCCGTAAAAAAAATATTCTTCTTTATTCGGAGACGCATCCTCCACTACCTCCGTTACCTCGGCTACCCCCACCCCCCACAAGCCACCAACTTCTCACCAGTTCGAGGAAGTTCTGCTCGAGGGCTCGGTACTCGGAGGAGCTCTTGTTGAAGAGGTCCTCCGAGAAGGCCATGTTGGTGACGCGGAGGCTGAAGAAGACGATGAGGTCCCGCGATCCCGACACGGCCACCACCGGCGAGGTCATCGGAGGCCCGGCCCAGCGGTCGTCCCACTGCACTGCCTGGGCCTCATCCGAGCTCTCGACGCCCTCATCGCCCGCGTCCTCCTCCGCTTCCTCCGCTGTGCCAACCTCGCCACCTTGGCCGCCCTTGCCAACGTCTTCACCATCTCCACCCTCTTCATTGTCACCACCCTTGCCACCCTGGGTACCCTCCTCGACCTCGCCGCCCTGGCCACCTTTGCCGCCACCGCTACCCTCGCCACCCTCATCACCACCACCCTCGCCACCCCCGCCACCCTCATCACCACCCTCGTCGTGACCATCTCCACCATCGCCTCCGCTCTCTTCTCCCTCCAACTCCATGGCACCACCACCCTCGCCGAGTCCACCCGGGGTTCCGGCCACGCCCTCGTCCGTTGCGACCACCACTACGACGTCCGCCTCAACTTCCGCCGACGTTCCCAGGTGGTATCCGGCATCGTCTCCACCACCTCCTCCTCCACCACCTCCTCCTTCCACTGACGCCACCACCTCCTCTCCGCTCGACTCTCCACCCATATTCTCCTCCGCCTCCTCCTCTGCCACTGCCTCGTCGACCACCACCTCCGCCACGGCTGCCACTACCGTGGTGTCCACTGCCGCCATCACAGTCTCGGGGTCGTGACCTCCCTCCATTGCTCCGGCGAGGGCGTCTCCATCGAGCGGAACTTCGTGGAGGAAGTGGAGGTGGTCGTCGTGCTGGTGGTCTTCGTGCTCATCTTGGTGGTGGTAAGAAGCTCCGGGTCTCCCATTCGCCGTCTCTTCCTCGAAAGACGAGGGCATCAGGTGCGCCTCCAACACCACAACATCGTCGTCAGTGGCGGATTCCTCTCCCGTTTCAATCTCGGCGCTGGCCTCCTCCACCTCCTCCGCGTCCGTCTGTGTCTCCGCGGCTGTCCCGGTCGTCTGGACAGAGTCTTCCATCGCTGACTGTTCTTGCTCAACATCCTCCTGTTGATGCTCCTGCTGATCGTGCTGCGGAGTCGTCTGGACAGTAGATGCTTCAGTCGCGGTCGTCGCCCCACCACCGCCGCCACCATCATCTTCTTCCACACCATCCGAGAATCCCGCCACCGAATATTCGCCGGGCTCAAGGCCGCTGCCCTCTGCGTTCGCTGGAACGATAAGAAGAAGAATAAGAAGAAGACTCAACACTGCACCATAGACTCAAAACTGCACCATACACTCAACACTGCACAATAGACTCAACACTGCACAAGAAATCTAACACTGTACCATAGACTCAACACTGCACCATCGACTTAACCATTGCACCATAGACTCCACCAGTGCACCATAGACTCGATTCTGCAACATAGACTCAACACTGCACAATAGATCTAACACTGCACCATATGTTTAACACTGCTCCATCGACTTAACCATTGCACCATAGTCTCAGCACTGCACCGTAGACTCAACACTGTACCATAGACACAACAATCCACAATAGTCTCAACACTGCACTATAAATTCAACACCCCACCATAGACTGAACACTGCACCATAGACGTTGTACTGTACCGACGTTCTCACCTTCGCTCAGCTGCAGCAGCGCAGCCGCCTGGAGGTCTTGGCTGGCATCCACTCCGCGGTCACTCAGTGCCGCGGCCACTACCTTCCTCCAGTCCCGGTTCGACTCCCGTCTGGGGTTCGTCTCTCCGGCACCTGCCACCCACACAAAAAAAAAAACGAAGACAAAGATCCCCCATGGAGCCTTAACAGACTGTTTGGGGCAAGTACTGTTAGTGAGTATCTATTAAGGCCGGCAATGTGGTATACGAGGGGGCGAGTGGCTAACACCACACCCGGCCGCCTTTGTCTTCCTAGTGGCGATATTGACACATCGCACCAGGTACACAATTGACGCTGGGTCAACCTAAAGGAGGCCCAGGACCGGTTCAGATAATCATCCCTGGTGTTGGTGGCCATGAACGGGAACCAACTCGGGGTGCCTGGGATTGTAGTGCAGCATAGCGCTAATCGCTAAAAATGTACCCAATGGATGTGCGCGTGTGTTTTGTCCTTCAATTCCTCAGTTGATGAAAAAAAGTTTATTCGAGGGGAGCGGTTGCTAGACAGCGAGTGTTGACTCGAGTGGATGGGGTTGCTAGGCAGGAAGATGGACCGCAAATGGCGTTAGGCATAGGGTAGAACGAGAGACAGAGAGACAGAAACAAAGAGACAAATAGAGAGACAGAGACAGAGAGACAGAGAGAGACACAGAGACAGAGATAAATAAATAGAGATACATATACAGAGAGACAGACAGAAAGACAGACAAAGAGAGACATATGCATAGAAATAGAGGAGACATAGAGACAGAGATACAGAAACAGAGAGACATAGACATGGAGGCAGACACAGAGAGACATAAACAAACATACAGAGACAGAAACAGAAAGGCAGAAACAGAGAGATAGAAAGACATAGAGACAGAGAGACTTAAAAAGAGAGACAAAAAGCGAGACAGAGAGACATAAATAAAGAGACAGAGAAACAGAGAGCTCATTCCAGTTGATGGGGTTGCTAGGCGGCGGGAGCTGAATCCAGTGAAGGGGTTGTTAAGGCAGTGAGAATTGTTTCGAGTGGAGTAGTTGCTAGGCAGCGAGAGTTGATTTGAGTGGGGGAGTTACTAGGCAACGAGAGTTGACTGACTGATCGTGAGGTTGAGTGACTAGCTGAGTGACTGGCTGGCTTAGTTGTTGATTCTTATACTGGCTGACTGGTTGAGTGACTGGCTGAATGATTGAGTGGCTGGCTGAGTCGCTAACTCATTGAGTGACTGGCTGAGCGATTGGCTGACCGCTTGAGTGACTGGCTGACTTTCTGACTGACTGACCGACTGACTGTCAGACCGGTCGAGTGACTAAGTCAACAAGGCACCTATAGCTGAGGAAACCAGGTTTCCCTGCACCAGAATTCCTCCTCTTCCTGGCCCGTAACTTGTTGCCACTCCAACCTCCAACTCCGTCTCATAGAGACTGGCTGCCTGATTGATTGTTTGGTTTAATGGCTGACCGTTTATGTGACTGGCTGACTGATTGAGTGACTGGCTGACTGATTAATTGGTTGACTGTTTGAGTGACTGGTTGTCTGGTTGAGTGACAAGCTGAGGGACAGGCTGGCTGACTTATTCATTACACTGTGTAACAATTTTGTTCTTGTTGTTCCTGGATAGTAAGTGTTATTTCATAATTGCATATGCCTCAAAAGTAGAGAAAATGGCTATTATTCCCCACAAACTTTGCTTTTTTGACCAGGACAGTGATAGTTTTCAATTTACCTCTTTTCCAGAACATTCCAGATAGATTTAGTGCTGAATAAACTAGAACATTCTGTAACTTTCCAGTAACATAAATAGTAGTGTAAATACAGGGGCCTTAAGCCCACCAGTTCAGTTTAGTTCCAGTTGCCTAAGTGGATACATATCTGCATTTTTTTGAGATGGCATCAAGAGGCTGCAAGCATCTGGCAGACGCATTTTGCTATGTCTGTGGCCAATTTATCAAGACAAGAGCGAAAAAGTAGTCTTTGGAAGCATCTGCTAAGATGTGCGAGGCCTACAAGGCATATTCGGCATGACTGTCGGGGGATCAAGGCGAACAATGGGAACCTCATTTCATCTGCGAGCAATGCAAACAAAACTCTGGAAGGTAATATGGACAATTGTTGCTTGGAATTTTATGTTATAAAATTTCAGTTTAACACGTAGGCTTTCGCGACCAATGTTATTCATAATCAACGTTTTTGGGTTTAGATCGCGTTTATTTATAAATGTGTCGTAACCCTCCATCGGGTGGTGGAGGGTTACGACACATGTATAAATAACCGCGATCTAAACCCAAAAACGTTGATTATGAAGTTATAAAATTTGTTTAAAAAATAAATATTGTAAAAGTTTTTCATCTTAAAATGTTTAGCAATTTTCAATGTTATTGAAAAAAGATGCCATACATGAAAAATGTTGCGAAAATCTCTTACACATTAGTTATGGGTGAAATAAATGTATTTTTGTAGGATGGTACAGAGAAGAAAAGAGAGCCATTAAGTTCGATATCCCATGAATTTGGCGGGAACTCACTGACCACTCAAGCAACTGCTACTTCTGCATAGTGGACCCTTCCAAACGTCGGACTGGCAAAATTGCACCTGCTATCACGTATCCAGACCTTCCTTCATCCATTGCCCCAGTGCCACAATGCCATGAGCTCTCCGTACCCACTCCTCTGGAGAGAGCATCACGTCAGAGAGCAAGAAAGACGTTGCAGATCCAGATCACAATTTCAGAGGTGGAGCTGAGGAGAGAAACCCATACTACCCCAACCAAAAATAACTCAACGACTTCATCAGAGATCTTGGTCTCACCAAGTCCAATGCCGGATGACGCCAAAAGGCGCGACTCAGTCACTCATCTGGTCCAACCCATGTGAGACTAGGCTCTAAGAAAAGCTGTCTCGGGTGTGGACCAATCAATTTCAAGGACAGTGCACATTATCAGAGTTATGTCTTTTGTTTGTATTATGACTGCAGGTATTGCGGTCTATGCAAACATGACTCCTTGTAAAAAGGTGTCAGTTTTGTTGCCAGATAGAAGGGTAAACAACCAATTATCATATTTTTACTGGCAAATGAGGTTCCCATGGTGTACGTGGAGCTGGTTGAGACTGGTGAAGAACTATGGCACAATGGGCTATAGGATGTCCCTCAAAATCCATATCCCTGATGCTTATCTTGTTAAATTCAAGGAGAACATGGGAGCGTACTCGGAGGAGCAAGGCGAGCGCTTCCACCAGGATATACTGGACTTTGAACGCCGCTACGAAGGACAATATAACGAGAACATGATGGGAGACTACATTTGGGGGCTGATTCGTGAAAGTGATTTACAGTATAATCGTAAATCTCGAAAAACTGCTCACTTCTAAATATTTGTAGTCATTTTTGCATTACTTTAGCATTAATACACTTTAACTTTTATTCATGTTGTTTTTTTCTGACTTTATGTGAATGAAAAGACACAAATTCGCCCGTTTTCTCATTGAAAATAGGTAAATAAAAACCTATCACTGTCCTGGTCACAAAAACAAAGTTTGTGGGGAATAATAGCCATTTTCTCTACTTTTTAGGCATAAGCAATTACGAAATAACACTTACTACTGAGGAACAAAATTGTGTTAGAAAGTGTTATTATACCGGCTGACTGGATGAGTGACAATCTGATTCACTAACTCGTCGAGTAATTGGCTGAGCGAATGTATGACTGGTTGAGTGACCGATATATGAAATTATTATGTATTCTGATTATAGTGCACTGCTACTGCTATTGTTATTCTGGCTGTTATGGATTGACTTATGCAGCTAGCGAAGGATGATAGTGATGTGTGCTGTGTGTCTCGCTATTGTAAACTTGTAATCACATTAGTTGGGAAAACTGTTACGTTGTTTATATAGCATTGTTTTAGTAAGTTTTAGAGGGGCTTGGTTTGGCCCGATTTTTTTTTATTTAGTATAGATTTATACTTATAATTTTGATCTGTATTGTATTGTGATTGTTATTGGGATCAAACATCGAAATGGAATTTTTTGCACTTTGTGTACGCAGCATGGACGGGTTGTGCTTTTAATGTAGGATGTTATTGTTTACGTATGTAATGTTCACATTTGTGTACGATTAATTTTAGGTGTATCTTGTAATTCTATTGTTTGTTGCGGTTGAACCCAAATCTGGAGCTGAATGGCTCACAGGGTAAATCCTAATAAATTAAACTGAAACTGAGTGACTGAGTCAACAAGGCACCTGTGGCTGAGGTGACCAGGTTTCCCTGCAGCAGCCCTCCTCCTCCTTCTGTCCAATCACTCCCCGCCACTCCATCCTCAAACTCCGCCTCATAGCGGACCACCACCGAGCTGCCCCGAGACCTGGGGGGTGGCGGTGAGGGTGGGGGTGGTGAGGGTGGGGTGGGCAGAGCGGAGGGTTGGTTTCATTTTATATGTGTAGTGTATAGTAGTGTATAGTGTAGTGTATAGTAGTGTATAGTAGTGTAGTGTATAGTGTCGTGTATAGTAGCGTAGTGTATAGTGTAGTGTGTACTAGTGCAGGGTGCAGCATAGTATATAATGGTGTAGTGTGTAACAGTGTAGTGTAGTGTATTCTGTAGCAGTGTGGTGTATAAAGTAGTATGTATAGTTTATTGAAGTGTATAGTCGTGTAGTATATATTGTAGTATATAGTAGTGTAGTGTACAATGTTGTATGCAGCATATATTGTAGTGCATAGTTTAGTGTATAGTAGCGCAGTGTACAATGTAGTATGCACTGTGTATTGTAGTGTATAGTGTAGTGCATAGTGTAGTGTATTTTAGAGTAGTGTGTTTTGTTTATTGTAGTCTATAGTGTAGTGTATAGTAGTCTAGTGTAAAATGTAGAATGCAGTGTGTATTGTAATGTTTTGTGTAGTGTGTAGTAGTGATGTGTATGTAGTATGTATTGTAGTGTATATTGTAGTGCATAGTAGTGTGGTGTATGTAGTATTTAGTGTGTATTGTAGTGTATAGTGTAGTGTATAGTAGTGTGGTGTATGTAGTATGCTACGGATATTGTAGTGTATAGTGTAGTGTACGTTTGTTTAAATTACGTCGAACCACCGTAGGTTGAAAGGACAACAACTAAACACAACAACATTTATCTTCTTGGTTCTTTCAGTAAAGTCACATAGAAGGGAAATAATAAAATAACAAAAATAAAACATAATTATTTTATTATGTTTTATGTTTTATTATTTTATTATTTCCCTTCTACGTGACTTTACCGGAAGAACCAAGCAGCTGAATCCCTGCAGTCACGAAAGCTTTAAATCGAAATTTAATACAACAACATTTCTCTTGATGTATCTAGTTGTGTAGCTAGTGGTGTAGGTAGTTGTGTAACTACAGTGAGGGAAAAAAGTATTTGATCCCCTGCTGATTTTGTACGTTTGCCCACTGACAAATAAATGATCAGTCTATAATTTTTATGGTAGGTTTATTTGACCAGTGAGAGACAGAATAACAACAAAATCCAGAAAAATGCATGTCAAAATTTTTATAAATTGATTTGCATTTGAATGAGGGAAATAAGTATTTGACCCCCTCTCAATCAGAAAGATTTCTGGCTCCCCAGGTGTCTTTTATACAGGTACGAGCTGAGATTAGGAGCACACTCTTAAAGGGAGTGCTCCTAATCTCAGCTTGTTACCTGTATAAAAGACACCTGTTCACAGAAGCAATCAATCAATCAGATTCCAATCTCTCCACCATGGCCAAGACAAAAGAGCTCTCCAAGAATGTCAGGGACAAGATTGTAGACCTACACAAGGATGGAATGGGCTACAAGACCATCGCCAAGCAGCTTGGTGAGAAGGTGACAACAGTTGGTGCGATTATTCGCAAATGGAAGAAACACAAAAGAGGCCGGCAAAATCCCATCACCACCTCCACGCGATGCCGGCTGGATTCCAACCAACGGTGAGGGTCTTTGGCGTCAGATGGAGCGACCCACCGGCCACAGTATTTCTGTGTCGCATCTATAGCAACGTCAAATCAACTTGGAACAAGCTAGGGCGCCCCTCGGGGGAAACGCGCGCCGTCCTCGCCCAAACGACGCGAGAAGTGGACGAGGGCTACCTGCTCATGGATGGGGCAGGCTAAAGAAGTTAGTCCGACTACGGCTGGGAACACTCAACATCGGAACATTGACAGGGAGAAGTCGAGAATTCTCGGCTGCCCTAAAGGCCCGTCGTATCGACATCGTATGCATCCAAGAAACGAAGTGGAGTGGAGCAAAGGCCAGGAAGATTGGAGAAGGATACAAACTGTTCTACAACGGTGAAAGAAACACCAAGAACGGCGTTGGAATCGCAGTCAGCCAAAATCTACGAGACAACGTCGTGGCCGTCCACCGTGTTTCCGACCGCCTCATGTCCATCGAAATCGACTCAAACGACCTACGCCTCCGGGTGGTATCTTGTTATGCGCCGCAGCCCGGCTGCCCAGCAGATACCAAGGAGGAATTTTGGGAACAATTTGATGGACACATGCAATCGATAAATGGAGAAGAGCAGTTAGTAATTGGTGGAGACCTAAATGGACATGTTGGAAGCGCCCGGGATGGATACCCTCGAAACCATGGTGGCCAAGGATATGGTACCCGGAACGATGAGGGAAACCGAGCCCTGGACTTTGCGGAAGCCCATGATCTTGTCCTCGCCAACACCTTCTTCAAGAAGAGACCGTCCCATCTCATTACGTACGCCAGTGGTGGGAGATCAACTCAAATTGATTACTGGCTTGTCAAGCGGGATAAGCTGAAAACGGTGACAAACATTAAAGTCATACCATCGGACAACATCGCCCCACAACATCGCATTCTGGTCATGGACATGAAAATGGACATTGGCCAGCGACATCGCCCACCAACAACTGGACAGCAGCGAATTAAGTGGTGGCGGATGAAGGAATGCAAGGATCAGCTGAGAGTCGCCCTCAATCAGATTGACGTGAACACCAACCGACCAGCGAATGCGATTTGGGAAGATCTCGCCGGCCAACTGTGCACAGCAGCAACGGAAGCACTGGGGCTAACTAAGCCGGGAAAACACTTCATTGACAAGCAAATATGGTGGTGGAACGAAGAAGTTCAGCTAGCAGTGAAAGAGAAGAAGCTAGCTTTCAAGAAGTGGCGCCAAACGCTCGCAGATCTGGATTACCAACAATACAGAAACTGCAAATCGGCAGTGAAGCGAGTAGTTGCAGCGGTGAAATTAGCTCAATACGACCAACTGTATGTCGAACTGGACACTCCAGAAGGTGCCAATAAGATCTATCGACTGGCAGAGGCGCGCCATCGTTCGACTCAGGATATTGGTCAGGTCAAATGCATAAAGGATGAGAATCACAGCGCTCTCAGAGACCCGCCTGCCATCCTTCAACGCTGGAGCGACTACTTCTCTGGAATCTGCAACCAGGAATTTCCCCACCCACCTATTATTAGCGCTGAACACGTCCTCGGTCCAGTTTCACCTATTACCATCACCGAAGTGGAACAAGCTATCAAGAGAATGAAGAATGGGAAAGCGACTGGCCCGGACGATATCCCTGCTGAGGCCTGGAAGATCCTTGGCAGGCAGGGTGCTGCCCTCCTTACCCAGCTCTTCAGCACCATCACGAGCACCAGTGAGGTTCCAGAAGCCTGGTCGACCAGCACGACGGTTACAATTTGTAAGGGTAAAGGGGACGTGGCAGAATGCTCGAATTACAGGCCAATCAGGCTCCTGTGTCATGCGATGAAGATCTTTGAGCGAGTTTTGGACACGAGGATTAGAAACATCATCACCCTATCACCCAACCAATGCGGCTTCGTCAAAGGATGTGGCACTACGGACGCCATATTCGCGGCGAGGCTCCTGCTGGAGAGGCACAGAGAGAAGAACAAAGCTGTGCATGTGTCGTTCTTCGACCTTGAAAAGGCATTTGACAGGGTCCCCCACGACCTCATCTGGCACTCGCTTCGATCCCATGGAGTCCCTGAAACCTACGTGCATTGGGTGCAACTCCTATACAAGAACGTCACCAGTGCAGTCAGGTGTGCAGTGGGCAAATCACCGCCATTTCCCATCAGCGTTGGAGTGCACCAAGGATCGGCCCTGTCACCACTCTTGTTTATCCTGTGCATGGACACGATCACTGCCGACCTGCACACGCCCCTGCCATGGTCAATTCTCTACGCGGATGACGTCCTCCTCTCAGATGAAGATAGAGGAGAAGTGGAAAGACAAACGCGCCTGTGGAAGGAACGTTTGGACGAAAACGGGATGAGGTTCAACATCAAAAAGACGGAGTATATGGAGTGTGGCCCCCAAACCGACGGCACCATCAGCATTGACGGAGAAGATCTGAAGAAAGTGACGGAATTTAAGTACCTGGGCTCCACCATCAGCTCAGATGGTAGCATCACGACTGATGTGAGGTCACGAGTCAATGCAGCATGGATGAAATGGAGGCAAGTCACCGGAGTCCTCTGTGATCGGAAAATGCCGGATAGGCTGAAGGGAAAAATTTACAAGACCATCGTCTGACTGGTGGCACTCTATGGATCCGAGTGCTGGCCAGCCTCAACTGTACACGAACAAGCTCTCCACACCATGGCGATGAGGATGCTCAGATGGAGCCTCGGGCTCACTTGATGGGATCGTGTCATGAACGAAGACGTTCGGAAGCAACTTGGTGTGGCCCCCATTGCGGACAAGATGCTTGAGGCAAGGCTTCGGTGGTACGGCCATGTGATGCGAAGTGAAGAGTCATCAGTGGCCAAGACTGCCATGTGTATTGAGCCAGAGGGCCGCCGTCCACGCGGACGTCCGAAGAAGCGATGGATGGATCGAATAAAGGAAGACATGAAGACGGTCAACGCATCCCCTGAAGATGCCCTGGACCGAGCCAAATGGAGAAGACAATGCCGAAAAGCGGACCCTGCGCCACAGCGGGAACAACGCTAGGAAGAAGAAGGAAGAAACACAAAAGAAGTGTCAATCTCCCTCAGCCTGGGGCTCCATGCCTCGTGGAGTTGCAATGATCATGAGAACGGTGAAGAATCAGCCCAGAACTACACGGGAGGATCTTGTCAATGATCTCAAGGCAGCTGGGACCATAGTCACCAAGAAAACAGTTGGTAACACACTATGCCGTGATGGACTGAAATCCTGCAGTGCCCGCAAGGTCCCCCTGCTCAAGAAATCACATATACATGCCCGTATGAAGTTTGCCAATGAACATCTGAATGATTCAGAGGACAACTGGGTGAAAGTGTTGTGGTCAGATGAGACCAAAATGGAGCTCTTTGGCATCAACTCAGGAGGAATGCTGCCTATGACCCCAAGAACACCATCCCCACCGTCAAACATGGAGGTGTAAACATTATGGTTTGGGGGTGTTTTTCTGCTAAGGGGACAGGACAATTTCACCGCATCAAAAGGGACGATGGACGGGGCCATGTGCCGTCAAATCTTGGGTGAGAACCTCCTTCCCTCAGCCAGGGCATTGAAAAGAAAATGGGTCGTGGATAGATATTCCAGCATGACAATGACCCAAAACACACGGCCAAGGCAACAAAGGAGTGGCTCAAGAAGAAGAATATTATGGTCCTGGAGTGGCCTGGCCAGTCTCCAGACCTTAATCCCATAGAAAATCTGTGGAGGGAGCTGAAAGTTCGAGTTGCCAAACGTCAGCCTCGAAACATTAATTACTTGGAGAAGATCTGCAAAGAGGAGTGGGTCAAAATCCCACCTGAGATATGTGCAAACCTGGTGGCCAACTACAAGAAACGTCTGACCTCTGTGATTGCCAACAAGGTTTTTGCCACCAAGTACTAAGTCATATTTTGCAGAGGGGTTAAATACTTATTTCCCTCATTAAAATGCAAATCAATTTATAACACTTTTTACATGCGTTTTTCTGGATTTTGTTGTTGTTATTCTGTCTCTCACTGTTCAAATAAACCTACCATTACAATTATAGACTGATCATTTATTTGTCAGTGGGCAAACGTACAAAATCAGCAGGAGATAAAATACTTTTTTCCCTCACTGTTGCTAGTGGTTTAGCTTGTATTCATGTTCGTCGTGGTGCTGGTGTTGTGACTGAGTCTTGCGTCTCACTCATCCCGTGGGTCGCTTCCTCTTCCTGTGGAACAGAGATCGGTATCACCGTTACTACCACGGCGTTATCAGCACTACTACCCAGCTGCTGTCTGTGTGTGTGTGAGTGAGGAGCGGTAGTGTAGCCGTTAGCGTGCTGTGCTATGAGCATGGCGACCCAAGTTCGATTCCCGCTCACGGCCAACACCCAGTGACGATTATCTGAACCAGTCCCCGGGGATCTCCTACGTCGACTCTGCCTAAAATTAGTACCTGGTGCGATGTGTAAACATCGCCGCTGGGGAGACAAAGGCGGTCGGGCGTGGTGCTGGCCACCCACCCCCCCCCCCCCGTGTACGGTTCCGGGCTTCTTAGATGCTCACTAACAGCACTTGCCCCTACAGTCTGTTAAGGATCTTTGTCTTTGTGTGTGAGTATGCTGTGTTTTGTGTAGGGGAGAGGTAATTTAGTGGTTGGCGCAACCGGGCCGTGAACCTTGAGACCCGCGTTCGATTCCCGCTCACGGCCAAACCAGTGAAGGTTATCTAAAGCGGTCCCTGGGGCTCCCCTAGGTCGACTCAGCCTCAAACATCGCCAGCGGGGGTACAAAGGTGGCTGTGTGTGGTGCTCACATTCCGACTGCGTGGTGAAAAAAAAACCTTCCAAATCTCGTCTTAGAAGTCTCGTTGAAGTCTCGTCTTAGACCAAGTTTCGTCTTAGAAGTCGAGATGAAATCTAGTCTTAGAATGCGTCTCGTCTTAGACCAAGTCTCGTCTTAGAAGTCGAGACGAAGTCTCGTCTTAGAAGTCGATACGAAGTCTTGTCTTAGAAGTCGATACGAAGTCTTGTCTTAGAACGCTTCTTGTCTTAGACCAAGTCTCGTCTTAGACCAAGCCTCATCTTAGACCAAATCTCGTCTTAGATGTCGAGATGAAGTCTCGTCTTATGGTGGTGATGATGCCGATGGTGGTGTTGCTGACGGTGCTGATGATACTGATGGTGATGATGGTGATGATGGTGATGATGATGGTGGTGATGTTGGTGGTGGTGATGATGGCGATGATGGTGGTGAAGTTGATGATGGTGGTGATGGTGGTGATTGTCATGATGTTAATGGTAGTGATGTTGATGATGTGGATTGTGGTGATGCTGATGATGGTGATGACGATACTGATGATGTTAGTAATGCTGATGATGCTGATGGTGGTGATGGGGTTGATGATGGTGATGCTTATAATGATTTGATGATGACGTTGTTGATAATGCTGATGGTGGTGTTGACGATACTGATTATGAAGGTGCCGATGGTCGTGCTGATGGTGATGCCGATGGTGGTGATGTTGTACCTGAAGCCCGTCACCCTCAGCTCCTTGAATCCTGGAACTTTCTGGAACCCCTTTTGCATCTGGTGACAGAACGACGCGGCCATCGTGAAAATATAAAAATAAAAATGCTTCAGCTCCAGAGACTCACACAGGTCACCCGAGCTACGCTGACTGAGCATCTATCTCCGATGTGGCCACTGTGAACGCCCACGGTGGGCTAGGAGATGTTAACAACCTCGCCTGGTATGCAGGAGGTCGTGGGTTCGATCATGGACCCTGACGTCTATGGTGGGCTAGGAGATGATAACCACCTTGCCTGGTATGCAGGAGGTCGTGGGTTCGATCATGGACCCTGACGTCTATGGTGGGCTAGGAGATGATAACCACCTCGCCTGGTATGCAGGAGGTCGTGGGTTCGATCATGGACCCTGACGTCTATGGTGGGCTAGGAGATGATAACCACCTCGCCTGGTATGCAGGAGATCGTGGGTTTGATCCCGACCCTAACGCCCACGGTGGGCTAGGAGATGTTAACCACCTCGGCTGGTATGCAGGAGGTCGTGATTTCGATCATGGACCCTGTCGCCCATGGTGGGCTAAGAAATGTTAACGACCTCGCCTGGTGCACAGGAGGTCTTGGGTTCGATCACGACCCTGACACCTGCTGTATGCTTGGAGTCTGCGTCTCTCTCTCTCTCCCCATGGTAGTGGCGGTATTTTGCGAGTATAGGTCTGTGTATGGCAACCTATACACAGACAAATACCCAAGGATCTCGAAGATTATAGAAACTTAGATCCCCACGTATAGCCTCTGGCCGGCTGTAGGGGCAAGCGCTGTTAATAATTAGCGACTTGCAGCACCACCAGGAGGGTCTGTTGAGGCCACAACTTTGGCACAAGAGGGGGTGGGTGATCAGCACCATGCCCGGCTACCATTGTCTTCCCACACACTCACTCACTCACCCACACATCCACTCACTCACTCACCCACACCCCCACTCACTCACTCACTCACCCACTCACCCACTCACTCACCCAATCAGTCACTCATCCACCCACTCAACCACCCACTCACTCGCTCACCCACACACCCACTGACTCACCCACACACCCACTCACTCACTCACCCACACCTCCACTCACTCAATCACCCACACACCCATCCACCCACTCACTCGCCCACACCCCCACTCACGCAATCACCCACACACCCACTCACTCACTCACTGCCCTACACACTCACCCACTCACTCACCCAATCAGTCATCCACCCACTCACTCACCCACCCATCTCACCCACTCACTCACTCACCCACACCCCCACTCACTCACTCACCCACCCACTCACCCACTCACTTACTGCCCTTCACACTCACTCACCCACCCACCCACTCACACTCACCCACCCACCCACTCACACTCACCCACCCACTCACTCACCCACCCACCCACTCACTCACTGACTCCCCTACACACTCACCCACTCACTCACTCACTGACCCACTCACTCACTCGCTCACCCACACACTCAAACAAATTGAAATATCCCCCGGGCAGCCTCTAACAGACTGCAGGGGCAAGCGCTCTTAATAGTAGCGAGTAGCAGCACTTATTGAAGGCCGGCACTGTGACACGCAGGGGAGTGGGTGGCAAGCACCACGCCCGGCCGCCTTTGTCTCTCCTGTGGCGATGTCCAATGCACACCTTCCTGTTACTAAGTTTAGGCTGAGTCGACCTAGAGTTGAGGCACAAGGACCGGATCAGGTAATCGCCTATCACTGGGCGTTTTGTGGTGTTGGCCGCGAGCGGGAATCGAACCCAGGTCACACCCTAGTCCGCAATGCTGCACAGGTGCCCTGAATTGACTGCTGTGCCAGGCTAGGTGCAGGAGGTCACGGGACAGACCCAGCAGGTGCCCTGAGTTGACTGCTGTGCCAGGCTAGGTGATGGAGGTCACGGGACAGACCCAGCAGGTGTCATGGATTGACTGCTGTGCCAGGCTAGGTGCAGGAGGTCACGGGACAGATCCAGCAGGTGTCATGGGTTGGTTGCTGTGCCAGGCTAGGTGCAGGAGGTCACGGGACAGACCCAGCAGGTGCCATGGGTTGACTGCTGTGCCAGGCTAGGTGCAGGAAGAGGAGGAGGTCATGAGAATCACCGAGACGACTAGCAGATGCCCCACCTGTTCACCACCCCCCACACCCCACACCCCTCGCACCCTCCACACCCCTCACACCCCCCCCACACCCCTCACACGCCCACACCCCTCACACCCTCACACCCCTCACACCCCCCACACACCTCACACGCCCACACCTTCACACCCCCCACACCCCTCACACCCTCACACCCCTCACACCTCCACACCCCTCACACCCCCCCCCACACCCCTCACACCCCCCCCACACCCCTCACACACCCACGCCCCTCACACCCCCACACCCCTCACTCCACCCCCCACACCCCTCACACCCCCCACACCCCTCACACCCCCCACACCCCTCACACCCCCCACACCCCACACATCCCCCACACCCCTTACACCCCCACCCCCCCCCATACCCTCACACCCTCACACGCCCCTCACACCCCTCACACCCCCCACCCCCCCCAACCCCTACACCCCTCACACCACCCCCACACCCCTCACACCCCCCCCCACACCCCTCACACCCCCACACCCCTCACACCACCCCCCACACCCCTCACACCCCCCACACCCCTCACACCCCCCACACCCCCCACAACCCTCACACCCCCCTCACCCCTCACACCCCCCACACCCTCACACCCCTCACACCCCTCACCCCTCACACCCCCCTCACGCCCTCACACCCCTCACACCCCCACACCCCTCACACCACCCCCCACACTCCTCACATCCCCCCCACACCCCCTCACCCCTCACACCCCCCACACCCTCACACCCCCCACAACCCTCACACCCCCCCCACACCCCCCACACCCCTCACACCCCCCACACCCTCACACCCCCCCCCCCCACCCTCACACCCCCCACAACCCTCACACCCCCACACCCCTCACACTCTCCACCCCCCCAACCCTCACACCCCCCTCACACCCCCCACACCCTCACACCCCCCACGCCCCCACACCCTCCACCCCCCCAACCCTCACACACCCCTCACACCCCCCACGCCCCTCACACCGCTCACACCCTCACACCCCCCACACCCCTCACACCCCCCCCACACACCCCCACACCCCTCACACCCCCCACCCCCGTCACACCACCCACACCCTCACACCCCCCACACCCCTTACACCCCCCCCCCACACCCCTCACACCCTCACACCCCCCACACCCCTTACACCCCCCCCACACCCCTCACACCCTCACACCCCCCACACCCCTCACACCCCCCACACCACTCACACACCCCCACACCCCTCACACCCCCCACAACCCCACACCCCTCACACCCCTCACACCCCCCACACCCCTTACACCCCTCACACCCCCACACCCCCACACCCCTCACACCCTCACACCCCTACACCCCTTACACCCCCACACACCCCCCACACACCCCCACACCCCACACACCCCCACACCCCTCACACCCCCCACACCCTCACACCCCCCCACACCCTCACACCCCCCACACACCCCCACTCCCCACACACCCCCACACCCCTCACACCCCCCACACCCCTCACACCCCCCACACCCTCACACCCCCCACACCCCCACACCCCTCACACCCTCACACCCCCCACACACCCCCACACCCTCACACCCCCCACACCCCTCACACCCCCCCCACACACCCCCACACCCCTCACACCCCCCACCCCCGTCACACCACCCACACCCTCACACCCCCCACACCCCTTACACCCCCCCCCCACACCCCTCACACCCTCACACCCCCACACCCCTTACACCCCCCACACACCCCTCACACCCTCACACCCCCCACACCCCTCACACCCCCCACACCCCTCACACACCCCCACACCCCTCACACCCCCCAAAACCCCACACCCCTCACACCCCTCACACCCCCCACACCCTCACACCCCCTACACCCCTTACACCCCTTACACCCCCACACCCCCACACCCCTCACACCCTCACACCCCTCACACCCCTTACACCCCCACACACCCCCCACACACCCCCACCCCCCACACACCCCCACACCCCTCACACCCCCCACACCCTCACACCCCCCACACCCTCACACCCCCCACACACCCCCACTCCCCACACACCCCCACACCCCTCACACCCCCCACACCCCTCACACCCCCCACACCCTCACACCCCCCACACCCCCACACCCCTCACACCCTCACACCCTCACACCCCCCACACACCCCCACACCCTCACACCCCCCACACCCTCACACCCCCCACACACCCCCACACCCCACACACCCCCACACCCCTCACACCCCCCACACCCTCACACACCCCACTCCCCTCACACCCCCCTACACCCCCCACACCCCCCAACCTTCACACCCCACACACCCCCACACCCCTCACACCCCCCACCCCCCCCCAACCCTCACACCCCCCTCACCCCTCACACCCCCCACACCCTCACACCCCCCCCACCCTCACACCCCCCACACCCCTCACACCCCCCACGCCCCTCACACCCCTCACACCCCCCACACCCCCACACCCCCCCACCTTCACACCCCCCACGCCCCTCACACCGTGCCGAACCTGTAGACGCAAGGTGTGCGACAGCGCCTGGTGGCGCGCCGACTGCTCGTCGCGTAGCTCCTCCTCCGAGAAGTCGAGGTTGTTGAGCCTCACGCTGAACGGCACCACGTGGCGCCCCCTCCCCCGCTCCTCCTCCTCTTCTGTCTTCACCTCCTCCTCTGTCTTCACTTCCTCCTCTGTCTTCACCTCCTCCTCTGTCTTCACTTCGTCCGTCGCCTTCACTTCCTCCTCCGTCGCCTTCACTTCCTCCTCTTCTGTCTTCACTTCCTCCTCTGTCTTCACTTCCTCCTCTTCTGTCTTCACTTCCTCCTCTGTCTTCACTTCTTCCTCTGTCTTCACTTCCTCCTCTGTCTTCACTTCCTCCTCTGTCTTCACTTCCTCCTCTGTCTTCACTTCCTCCTCTGTCTTCACCTCCTCTTCTGTCTTCACTTCCTCCTCTGTCTTCACTTCCTCCTTTGTCTTCACTTCCTCCTCTGTCTTCACTTCCTCCTCTGTCTTCACTTCCTCTTCTGTCTTCACTTCCTCCTCCGTCGCCTTCACTTCCTCCTCCTCTGTCATCACTGCCTCCTCCGTCGCCTTCACTTCCTCCTCCGTCGCCTTCACTTCCTCCTCCGTCGTCGTCACTTCCTCCTCCGTCGCCATCTCCTCCTCCCCCGCTTGCTCCTCGGTGGGCAGGAGGTTGGCGAGCGACTCCCCGGACGGGATGAGCGAGGGCGTCTCCGTGTCTTCGTGTCCCAGCATCTCTGTGTCTCCGTGTCCCAGCATCTCCGTGTCTCCGTGTCCCAGCATCTCCGTGTCTCCGTGTCCCAGCGTCTCCATGTCTCCGTGTCCCCCTGTGGTCTCTGCCTCTGTCCCCATTGCGCCGGGGGCTGTGTGTCTGTCTGTGAGGACAAGAGGAAGAGACGGCGGTGGCAGCGGTGGAAACGGAGGTACAGGTGGTGATGGTGGTGATGGTGGTGGTGATGGCGGTGATGGTGGTGGTGATGGTGGTGATGGTGGTGGTGATGATGGTGGTGATGGTGGTAGTGGTCATGATGATGGTGGTGGTGATGGTAGTGGTGATGGTGGTGATGGTGGTGGTGATGGTGGTAATGGTCGTGGTAGTGATGGTGGTGGTCATGATAGGGTGATGGTAGTGACTGGTTTGAGGGGCTGGTAACCCCTCCACCTTTAATTTAACTACCTTGAAAACACGTGTTGAAAAACATCCAACTAACCTTGTGCCGGAGGCCCCGGGGGGACAGTCGTTTATGACGTCTCCTGGACAAACCTCATTTTGTCGGAGCCAGGAGACTGCCAAGCCACAGGGAATTGGCTCTTCTTCTGAACAAAATAATTAAGGGGGTGTGGGAGCATGGTGGTGAGGTGTGGGAAGCTGTAAGCCCCAGGGTACTGTGGGCTCACCTTCTCATCAATAAGAGGCAAGAAGTGGTGGTCGTGGTTTCTTATGCCCCCACCGAAGATGAACATCAGTGGAGGGATATAGACAAGGTCGATGAGTCAGATGCCTTTTATGACCTCCTGTCACAGGTGTGGACTAAAATGGCCCTTTGAGATGGAGTCATTCTGTGGGGTGACTTTATGTCCGAGTGGGTCCTAATACAAACACCTGGATTGGAGTGATCGGAAGGCATTGGCCAGATCAGCTCAATAACAATGGTGGGAGGCTTCTAGACTTCTGTGCAGCCCGTGGGCTTGTAGTTACCAACGTGCTGTTCCAGCATCGGCGCATCTACACAACATCATGGATACACGCCGGGTCAAAGCAAGAACATCTGCTGGATTATGTAGTGATGGAACAGCGGATATGGGCCCATGACCTTGACACTAGGACCTACCGTTGAACTGATCTGCCCACTGACCATTGGCTTCTCATCTGTAAGATGCACCTGCCATTCTTCAACTCCGGTGGTGGGTGTACACCTAGGACCCCATTCAAATCATCCCTGGTCTCAGCTAGCTGATGAAAGTTGCAAGCGAGAATTTAATCCTCGCTTGCGGCTGGGGTTGGCATCGTCCCCCACTCCTCCTGATGTCGACGGGAAATGGGTGAGGTTCAGGACTGTGGCTCATGTCGCTGCAACAGCTGCATTGGGCATGCGGTTCAGACCTCCCCAGAGACCGTGGCTGAAGGAGGTGTTCCATCTGGCTGAGAGAAAATGCTAGGCCCACTCTCACCTTCCACAACATCCAACATCGGATAATGAGTAGGCTTACTACATCTTCGCTCGGAGATTCGGAGAGCCGGGCAAGGATGGGTGGTGATCGCGGGTTGCTGAGGAGATGGAATCGGCCTCGGTAGCCCGCAATCACAAATCACTCTTTAACACCATCAAAAAGGTAACTTGCTACGCCTCACCTATCACCATCCTTAAAGGTGAGAACGGTGATTCAATCTCCAACCCCTGGAAGAGGTCTGCAGGTTTGCAGATACATTCTGTGAGGTCTTGGACAAAGGGAATTCCCACAGCCTAGACAACATCATGGGAAAAGGTGGAGACGGCCCTGCCAGGGCTGCGGTGCCTCAAATATTGGCAGGAGTAGCCACCCCTTCTGAGTGGTTGGCTGAGGTGCCATCTGTGGAGGAAGTGGGAGGGGTGCTCCGGAGACTGAGAACAGGAAAATCGCCAGGCAGATATGATATCCCAAGCGAAATCCTGAGGGAGGGTGGCATCTGTGTGCAAACTGCCCTAGATGCCATCATCACAAATGTTGGGCCACAGGGCAGGTTCTTATAGTCCAAACAGGATTGCCCTTCCTTCTCTATACTTGCGAAATGTGGACCCCTCCATAATGGAACATCTTCGCTGGTTAGAAACATTTAGGCTGGCCTACCTATGATCCATCCTGGGTTTAACTAGGCTGCATTGTGTGAGGAGCTCACAAATCCTTGAAAGATCTGGGCAAAGTCCCATTGGTGAACTCCTCCGGCAGGCAAGGCTGCGTTGGCTAGATCATGTAGCCTGCATGCCCAGCCACGGCATGCCCAAGCAGCTTTTGTCTGGTCGTATAGAGGGAGCTAAATGGGCATGGCATGGTCTGCAAAAGAGATGGACTGATGCGGTAAGCTGAGTGGACTTGCAAAAGACTGGTACTAGCGGTGTCAAGATCGGCCTCAATGGAGGAGGCTCGTGAAGGACGCTACTGATCAGTTGGAGGCAGTCACCCTCCAACAACAACAGAGGGCAGAGGAGCGTCGCTCACAACAATGAGCGAACCACTTGGTGGTTAAAATGCAGCTAGTTGACACAGCAGGGGGCACATCTGGTGCATCTGCCAGTCATCTCAGTCAACCCATGGCACCTGGGTCTGCCCCGTGACCTCCTGCTTGCTAGGGGGAGTTCAACACTCACTTCACGTCGCCTTAAAGTGCACATAGCCTGGCACAGGCGCCGTGGTGATGTTACCGCCACTTAGTGGTGAATGGCAGGTATTGATATTGATGCTGGTGGTCATGGTGGTCGTCATTTTAAGACTTTGGAGGCTTTCGCAACCAAATATTTACAAAAAAAAGCGAGAATTTTCGTGAGTTAGATCGCACAAATACAAATGTGTCATTAAACCGAACACCACCCGACATGGCAAATTGGCGAGGTTTGTTCTGTAAACGAAATGGGCCAATTCGTTACACGTTCAGCACTAACCGGTTGTATGTTGGGGAGTAAACCCTTTGCTATGTTTTTTTTGACAAACTTTACAAATTGTCCATGTCAGCTGGTGGTGGCAGGTTTATCAACACATTTACATTCACGCGATCGGACCCAAACAAAACCTCTATGATGGTGGTGACCACGGAGATGTAGGTGGTGATGGTGGCGATGCTCGTGATGGTGTTGAAGATGGTCATACTTGTGATGATGGTGGCAATGGTGATGAAGGTGATTTTGAAGCTGGTGATGGTGGTGATGGTGATGATGGTGGTAATGAAGAAGGTGGTGATGAAGGTGGTGAAGAAGGTGGTGATGAAGGTGGTGACAACGGAGGTGCAGGTGGTGACAGTGGTGATGGTGGTGATGAAGGTGGTGAGGTTGGGGATAGTTGCTAATAATGGCGAAGGCGGCGATGGTGGCTGTGATGGCTCCCACTCCTCCCATTCCTCCTCCACCCGCTGACCTTTATCTGGAGAATCGACGTAGCCCAGAATGTCAGCAGACACCGAGGAAGAGCCATCACCACCTCCTTCGTCCGCGTCAGGAATGGCGTTGATAAACTGCACAGCGCACGCAGCAAAGACAGATATACCTCGCCAGGTGTAAGGCCACCACTGAGCTGCCCTGTAGCCCTTTTTCAGAGGCCAACCTGGGCCATCACAAATGAGTCACAGCTCAACGAAGTTTCATCATCCTAAATATCGTCGTCATCGTCACGTGGAAATGTTACGCAGCAACCAAATACTTGTATAGATGCATTGTGACGTTGATTCTCAATGACGAAGGGGAGAAAAATCCACACAGTGACAACCAGGGAGAGAGAGAGAGACGTTGGGGTCAGGGTCAGGATCGAACCCACCACCTCCTGTATACCGGGTAAGGTAATTAACATCCGCGAGTGCACCGTGGCATCAGGTAAGGCTCCACTGAGCAGCTATTTTTGCAGAAGACACCTGGCACATCACAACGTAATAGCAGCACCATCACCTGGCTGATGTCAGCATCACGTGGACACTCGTAGCAACATCCAGACACTCTAAACGCCTGTTGTGGATTCGAAATTTGGAGGGAATACCGGAGGACCCGGAAGATAAATTCACGTGACCACGGAGAGAGAAAGAAAGACACGCAAACTCCAAATGTACAGCATTTGCCAGTGTCGGGTTCGAAACCACGACCTCCTGTATACCAGGCAAGGTAGTTAACATCTCCTGTCACACTTTGGTGTCAGGGTCGGATTCGAACCCACGACCTCCTACATACCAGTAAAGGTAGATAGCATTGTACAAACATTGAAGAGAAACCGATCACCAAGTGTGCATTAACCACACATGGCTGCTCGTGGTAGAAAATACAAACAAACATGCTCCAATAATAATAATCTATTGCCCTTGGAACTGATTTTCCTACACCAGAGCAACAGGAGCTGCCTTAATGGCGTGGTCTCACCATCGGTGTTAGACCTCAGAATGACGCCAAAAGGCGATCAGAACAAATGCAATGCAAACATCAAAGCATCATCAGCATGGCATTGAACAGATATATATAGACGGGAGAACCTCCTCCTCTGCGGTTGCACCTCGATTCAAGAGCCGAATGGCTCACAGGGCTATACCTAATAAATTACCTGAACTGAACTCTTAACCACGGTTATTGGCTCCACTAAGCCGGTCCTGAAGTGATTTGGTCGTTAAGGCAGAGTAGGAAATAGACGTTAAAAGCTTAATTCGTTCCGATTGTATCGAAAGTTACCCCCGTTTCACCCAAAGAACATACTTTATAATATTTAAACAATAAATATCAATACATACAGATACCAACAACATTATAAACACATAATATTAAAAAGAAAACACGGTTAATAAATGCATACATAACGGGGAAATGTCCGTTAAGCAAACACATTGGGCTCTATGGAAGCACTACGCGAATATACACTATACACGACTATACACTGCATTATACACTACACCACTATACACTACACTATACAAGGTGTTTTAAAAGATAGACCCAATTTCAAAACATTATATTTCACGATGGCAACATGTTACAATTACACAAAAAATTACAAACGGTTTATTGATTTATTAAGTTTAACTAACCATTTTATAA